GCCTGACAATGTGTTCTAACAGCGGTTATCATTAGTCTTTCTCTCTTCTGCTGTAGGTAGTTTGACCCTCCGTACCCTCCTCTCTCCTTCTGTAGTTTGATATCAGCAGAGGGTCCAGACTGAGAAATCAGAGCAGGTCATGAAAATACTCGCTACAGGCAACACAAGGCCTCATTCTCTTCATCGCCGTCTCATTTTTCTGCTCTAATGTTATCCACTCTCTCTCCTTTTTGGTCTTACTTGTTCTTATCGGTCTTCCTCCTTTTTGTAAATGTTCACACATATATTTTATTGTCTTAATCACAAATCGGACAGGTTTTCTAAATAGCCGCCTAAATACCCGTTTTATATATATATATATTTTCCATGGTCTGTCTGAATACTGGATTCTGATTGGCTGGCAGGTATGCAGTAAAACCGTTTAATGCACAGGTAGTTCCAAGTCAGTTTAATCACCGTTCCATATTAATGCGCTGCTTTATTTGATGCACACAAACTCACACACAGAGAGAGAGAGGTCAGAGATCGCTGAGTGCGCTGCACAGACACACAGACTTGTTGTCAACGCTTCCCCGTGATTTTTATTAATAAAATAGCCTAGATACTAGATCGCTACATTATATTCCTCAGCAACGAGGTGATAAAATTGCTGTTTTTGAAGTAATTGTACAGAGAGACGCGCAGCACGCAGGTACACACAACTGTCATCTCTCTCTGTCTCTTTCTCTCTCTCGATCGATCGATAATTAATTGAAATGCATGCTATAATTTATTCAAATAAATGTGGTCTTACCGCACTATTTCATCTCTGTGTATGATTTGAAGCGGGCAGAATGCTAGCGTTTTACCCATTTAGTCAAATATTGTGCTGCAAAGAGCAATACTAGTTTTAACTTCTCTATAACTTGGCAAAATGACCATGGAATAAGCGGGATAATCAACGGCTAGCCGTTGTTCACTGAGAAGTTGCGCAAAACCACGATCATATATAAACGTGGTTTTGCGCAGCTCGTCAGTGAACAACGGCTCTGTGTAGTAAATGCTGCTTCATGTGAAAGCACGCACGTGATGGAGATTTACCGCTGATTACAGAAGCGGCTTTACTGACAAGATGCGCATTAAATATCGCATGGGATTTATCGTGCAGCCCTATTTTAAATGCACTTCGCGGAGGCAACCACCTTCCGCTTCGCGTCTGGCGGTTCTTTGCCTCCACGTCATGCATTTAAAATCCTTTAATGCACGGATAGCCATTGATTATCCCTTACATATATTAGGGCAGTCAGTTTAACGGGTTAACTTAATTAATTAGTTATGAAAAAATAATGCGATTAAAATATTTGAATGCAGCTAACGCACTGGCCCCACCCCCAGACCTGTACGTCATCTTACAGTCCATACAGTTGACTGTTGACAAATATGATGCAGGACAACAAGATTCAAAATATTGGTGCAAAAAAATGCCCCTGTATGAGTTTTTGTCTCATATTTATTCGATATCACACGAGCAGGGAGAGCAGTAGGCTATTATTAAACGAGTGCTGATTTTGTCCCGAATATCACAAGTTTAAATGTGATTTGATACAACAGTTCAGTACATAAAAAGTTGATATTGTGTTATATTTTAAACACAACAATATGTGTTTTTGCTCAATTTTGCAGAGAACATATTACCTTTAAAGCCACAGCAAAATTGTTGCGCATCTCAGAGCAAAACAGCTGTTTAGTTTCTGAATGAATCTGCGTTTCGAACGAATCCATACAATGTATTTTTGGCTATTGCTACAAATATACCCAAGCGACTTAAGATTGGTTTTGTGGTCCAGGGTCACATTTAGAGTATCATTCCATAATAGTAGTAATAATAATAATAATAATAATAATAATAATGAAAACATTAAACGGATAGGCCTAGTTCACCCCAAAAAAAATTATTTCTGTCATAATTTACTCGTTTCAAACACTTATTTTGTGGAACAACAAAGTTGTTTTGGTTAATGACTTTCATTGTATGAACAAAAAATGATTTGGGTTTTTTCTCAAATTATCATATATATATATATATATTCCATAGTTTGCTACCGTTGTAGCTTAAATGTTTATGTGTAATACATTTTATGTTGAATCAAATGAATTATTTTCTTTCTAAAGCTAAAATTTGTAATGTCTACTTAATACTTTTTCATTTAACACAAAATAGCTTTAAATAATCTTTTTGTGGGTATTTTCACAGTCAAATTTATTTTGCGATTAATTAGATTAATTAATCGACACATCATGTAATTAATTAGATTAAATATTTTTTTTATCGACTGACAGTCCTAATATATACTATAGATAGATAGATAGATAGATAGATAGATAGATAGATAGATGGATACACAGAACGATAGGATAGCTAGAATGATAGATAGACAGACGGATGGATGGATGGACGGATGAATAGACAGAATGATAGGATAGATAGAATGATCAAACGATAGATAGAGACAGACAGATGATGGATGGTTGATGAATACACAGAGTGATAGGATAGATAGATCGATATACAGACAGACAGACATATAGACAGATAGATAGATAGATTTTTTTAAATGTAATTTATTTATGTGATGCAAGGCTGAATTTTCATCATCTTTACTCCAGTCTTCAGTGTCACATGATTCTTCATAAATCATTCTAATATGCTGATTTACTGCTCAAAAAAATAAAAATAAATAAATAAAATTTATTTGTGTGTGTGTGTGTGTGTGTGTGTGTGTGTGTGTGTGTGTGTG